TGACCCTGGAGGTATTCAAAAAGAAACTTGATAGATCCCTGCGAAGGAGGCTATAGAAGAGATTCCTACACTGGGAGTAAGACTGGACTAGGTGATCCCAGAGGGCTAGCTCAAAATCAAAGTCTTTCAGGGATTGTAACTCCATCGAGTGATGGAGCCATCTCTTGACCAGCTCCCAATCGTCGCTAAGACCTTCTGCACCATTTCTATTCTTCAGTTCTTTTGTCTTTTCTGAATTCTTCTTCTACTCTCATTCTTTCCCTCTACTTGATCCTATTTTCTTTCCTTTCCCCTGCTTGGAGAGGCTCAGACTTGTCATACCAACTATAGTGAAACAGTCCAGTTCTAAAACCTGTTCCTATTCCACGCAGTCAACAAATACAATGTCAGAACTGAAAGGGACTTTAGAATGTTTGATCTGGGAGGGCCCTTAGAAAAGGGAATGTCAGAGCTGGGTGGGCCCTCAGAACAGGGAATATCAGAGCTAGGAGGGCCCTTAGAACAGGAAATGTCAGAGCTGGGAGGGCCCTTAAAACTAGGAATGTCAGAGTTAGGAGGGACCTTAGAACAAAGAGTGTCAGAGCTGGGAGGGTCCTTATAATAGGCAATGTCAAAGCTAGAAGGAACTTTAACACATTGAACACAGACAGTCAGAAGATAAAAGGACCTTGGAATAAAGAATAAATGTCCCATCTGGAAAGGACCTTAAAACATGAAATGTCAAAACTGGACAGGTCCTGAAATCATCCAGTATAGAATTCAGAGCTGGGAGGGGCCTGAGACCATGGAATATCAGAGCTGGGAGGGTTTTAAAGGCTAAAAAAATGTAGTGGAATGAAATAAAAAGAAGTCTAGAATTGGAAAGAGAAGACCTGATCTCAGCTCTCCTGCTTACTATGTGGGCAGGTCATTGAACCTCTTCTGGTCTCGGTTTCCTCATCTGTCAAATGAGGTATTAGATGTGCTGATCCCTAAACTCCCTTTCGACTGGAACCCTATGATGTGGTCTAATGCTCTTATTTTACAAGAGCATTTTACAGAAGAGAAACTGAGGCTGAGTGTAGGCAAGGTCCAAAGCTATGCAGGATTAGAATTGACGGTCTCCTGCTGGCTAGGCTGTGCCCAGTAGTGAATATAAAGTCATTTCTGTTATCAGCCTGTGTCAGTGGTCTGAGAAGAGAAAAGCAGCCCTTCTCAGTTTGGGGACCTCGAAACTGAGTCCAGGCACTGCGCTTGGAGTCAGGAAGATCTGAATTGAAATACAGCCTCAGACACTTACTAGCTGTGTGACCCTGAGCAAATGACTTAGCCTTTGTTTGCCTCAGTTTCCTCAACTGTAAAATGGGAGTCAAGATAGCACCTACCTCACAGGGTTGTTGTGAGGATCAAATGAGACAATATTTGTAAAAGTGTTTAGCACAGTGCCTGGCACATAGTAGGTGCTATTTAAATATGTATTCCCTTTCCCTCCCTTCTTTCATCTCTGAAACAGATTCCCCATGCCCTGTCCATTAATCCTCAGTCACAGCCACCTTCAGAAGATCTCAAAGCATCTTTCCTTCTCATACCACATGTCCTTCTGAGGCCTCAATATTCTTAACCCTTAAAGGGACCTTCAGGAAATAGAAACTAGTTATCTGACTTCTCATCAAATGGGCATCCCAGAAACTGAAAAACCCAGGCATCTGGATTCCACACCCGACCTTCCCTCTCCCCCGCCCCAGAGTTTCTTCTTCCAGGATTAGTCTTTCCAGGTTTCACTAAGTCATTAGCTACATGGCTCCGGGCAGCAGAATATTTCACCTTTCGAGGCTTCAGTTTCCTCACCTGCGAAATGGGGCTAACAACATTCCGAGTACCTCTAAAGAGCGGGAGAAGTGTGAGCTGTTCTCATTAACCTTTGGCCTGAGGGCTTTGGTCCTCTCTGTGTGAGTCGGCGTCTGCCCAGGTGGGAAGAAGGGGAGTTGGTTGTCGCTTCTGCGGTCCAGTTAGAGTCTGTGTCACCATCTCTGCTGATCCCTTTCAGCCTGGTCCACCCTGTCTAGTGGCCAGGGGATGCTTGGGCAGACGGGGCGGTGGGGTGGGTAGTCAGAGGGAGGGGGTGGAGGGTGCCGTCCTTCACTGTCTACCTTTACCCCAAGCTCTTTCCAGTCTCCTCCCACATGTTCCTCAGTCTCCCCTTCTTCTTCATTAATCTCTCTTCTTCATTCCTCCCTCCCATATTTCCTTCTCTGTCGCTCTAGCTCCTGTTTTCTATTCAGCATCTGCCTGTCTGTTTCTCAGTCTATCCTCTCTGCCTCTGAGAGCCTTTGGTCTGTCTTTCTGTCCCTCAGGCTCTACTCACATGCTTCCCAATCCCTCCCTCTCCATCTCTCAGTCTGCCCTATCACTCATTCTTTCCCTCTGTCCCCAAGGCTCTCCACTTGGTACCCAGGCTTTCCCTCAGCCTCCTCCCTCTGTCTCTCCCTTTGTTCCATCTCTCTCCTTCTATTTCTTGGGCTTTCTGTTCATCAGTCTCTTCTCAGTCCCTCAGTCTTCTTCCTCTTTCTCCTTTTCTCTCCCATTTATCAGGATCCCTCTTACTCTCCCTCCTTTCTGTCTCTCAGTCTCCCCCTCAGCCCCTCTGTCTTCTTTTTTCACTTACTCTTTTTTTTCAGTTCTTCTTCTCTTTTTTACTGTCTTTCCTTCTCTCCTCCTCCTCTCTCTCCTTTACTGTCCATCTGTCTCTTCTCTGTCCCTCAGTCTTCTCCTCTAGGTTCCTCAGATGCCCCTCCCTCCTAATGTGCCTCCCCCTTTCTCTGGCCCTGACATTTTATATTCTATGAAACTAGGAATGTCTTTGATTTCAAAATGCAAAGAGTCTAACATCCCTGTGCTGGGCGAAAGGAGAGAAGACAGAGTCAGACGAGCCTTGAGGGCTTGCAACTTGGTGCTGCCTATAAATTGGGGCCTGTCCCATCCCTGATTATGTACGTGTGTTGGGAGTGGTCTCAGAACTGGGAGGGATCACCTAAAATTATAGGAGTGTCAAGCTGTAAATTTGAGAGAGCTCACCTAATCCAAATAAAACATAAGTGGAAAGTGCCAGAAATTCCATCAGACCACCTGGGTTCTTCTATTTACTTATGTGGCCTTAGGTAGGTGCTTAACCTGTCTAGACCTCAACTAGAAGGAAGGGTAGAGCTGGAATGGGCTAGCTCAGATCGCTCGGTTTACAGATAAAGAAACTTAGTCTTCCAGAGGGTATGTGACTTGTCCAAGGTCACACATGCTACACATAAGTGGCAAATCTGGGCCTTTAAGTCAGATCTGGGCCGAAATCCAGTGTTGGGAAGGGATGCAGACCTAGGAAGGAATTCAGCAGCTGGGTCTCTCAAACTTCGAGTCCTAGATTCGTCGTCCCTGGCCTCTCCTCTGAGGGACTGAAGACCCAGCTCTGGCCTTCAACGAGTCAACGGGCATTGATTAAGCACCTACTTGTGGCAGGCACTGTGTGCCAAAGAGGAAGGTAAAAGATCACCCCTGCTGTCAAAAAGCTCTAGCGGGTGTGAGCAAACAAGCTATAGACAGGCTGAACTGGAGATGTTCTCAGAAGGAAGGCGGCTGCTGGCAGAAGGTGGGGTTTTAGCGGGGGTGGGGGGGCACATCCTTTCCCCTTCACAGTTTGCTCCTCGGGCAATTGAGGGAATTGGACTAGATGTGTTCTAAGGTCCCTTCTAACTCTATGGTTAATGATAACCCTAATAAATAGAACCTACGTGTCTATAGGCTTCAAGCTTGAATCCCTCCCCGCTACTGCCCCATGTCTACGGTGGTCACACGTGCCAGCCCCTAGTAGAGCCCAACTCTGGGGAAGGGAGGGGGGGGCGTGGGTGGGGGCCGGCAGCCAGGACTTCTGGAAGGGGAACGGGGTCCCCAAGACTCCTTCTGAGGCCAGGTCATCCCCGTCTTCGCCACGCCGCTCTTTTGGTCCTACCTGGCCTTCCCCTTCAAGCCCCGGGTGGCCAATAGTAAAAGTTTCTATTAATAACAGCCTTGCAGCGCACCCGGGGAGCCGGAGAGTCGGGGAGCCGCTCTGCGCAGGCGCGAGCGAGAAAGCAAGCGAGAGGGATTCCCTCTGACGTCATTGCTAGGATACCAAACAAACACTCGGAGCCCAGCCGATGAGCTCCATATATGGCTAATTGCGTCACAGGAACTCCGCTCGGGGCGGGGCGCGGACAGGCGGGATCCCCCTCCCAGCCGAAAGAAAGCGCTGGGGGTAGGGCGAGGGGGGTCCGGGGGGCGTCTGGACAGGCTCGAGAGGGGCTGATTCTGCTTTTTGGGGCCCGTCCGGGGTCGGGTGCGTCCGTGGCCCCGGGGCCGAGCCGGCAGAAGGCGGCGGCTCCGGGACCTGGGCTTGGGGGAGGGTCAGGGCTCCCTTTGCGAGGGGGTGACGTCAGCCGGAGGGGGCGTGGCCCGCGCTATAAAGGAGCCCCGAGCTCTCCTGGCCCCTCATTCATAAGCTTATCGGGAGCGGGTATTACGGTGAAGGAGTGGAGCGGGGACGGGCATCAATTTTCTCCATCTCTCTATCTTACCAGGGCTTCTCCCTGCCGTGCCCGGACAGCACCCGCGGACTTCCCTCTTTTTCTTGTTGGCCCCAGGACTTGAGCGCTGCCGCCGCTGCATCTCCGGCTGCTTCCCAGGCGTGCGGGGTCGGGGGCCAGGCGGGATTCCACTAAGCGGGACCGCGGAGCTCGGAGACAAGGGGGGACGGGGCCTTCTCCCCCTCCCCCTCGAGGGAAGATTTGTCCCCCCCTTGGCCCCCCAGAATCGGACAAGCGGGGCAGGGGAGGGGACGGCGGTCCAAAGAGAGCGAACTTCCTCCGTCTCTCCACATTTCAGCGCCCGGGGATACTCCTTCAGGACTTGGACTTGTCCACCCCCGTCCCCGCTGGACTTGGGGGCCACCTGGACCGCCGGACTCTTTATTGGCTTGTTTGTTTTTTCCTCTCGTGCCGAGTCCCCCCACCCTCGGTCCAGCCTTGGCTTCCAGGCGGCCCCAGCGCGGTCACAGGCCACCCCCTGGGGTGCCCGGGGAGATGTTTCAAGCCTTCCCCGGAGACTACGACTCCGCCTCCCGGTGTAGTTCGTCGCCGTCGGCCGAATCCCAGTACCTGTCATCAGTGGACTCCTTTGGCAGCCCCACGACTGCCGCTGCCTCCCAGGTAGGCGCTGGGGTCAGAAAGCCCTCCGCCGCCGGTCAGCAAGCAAGCTCAGGGCGAAGGGGGCAGGGGATGGGGGTGAGGGGCGCCGAGGTCCGAGCTGGGTGAAGGGTGAGAAATGGCAATTCCCGCGCTTCCTCCCTGACACGATTAACCAGGTGCCTCAGTTTCTCCAGCTGGACAAGGAGGCGAGCGGGTTAGACTGACCGCCTACGGGAGGCTCGGTGGGTGATTGGTCTGTAAACTGAAACTTGTTTCGGGAAACCGGGATTAGGATGTTGTCCTACTATCCGGATCTCTAAGCGCAAATCTCTATGCAATGTCTATGCAAACCGAGAAGAGTTGGAGCTCTAGGTGGGGAGGTACGGGGTGGGGGGTCCTAAGCCGGCTTTGGGAGTTTAGAGGGGACACACCCCGAACAGAGGAGTGTAGGGGACAGCTGGCTACGGAGGGGGCTCTGCAAACAGGGGTCCTGCAAATAATTTTGGGGAAAGCCTCGATGCAGGTCACCCCCATTCAGAGCAGACTTACTAGCCCAGGGCGCCCGAACGGGAGGCGGGTCTCGAACCCCCTCCGCCTCCGGCGCTGGAACGTAACGGGGGACCCGTGCGTAAGGGCTGACGCGCTGGAATCCTCCGTCTGACGCGAGGCACGCACGGCGCGCGGCCCGCCCCCCTCCCCGCCGCCGCCGCCGCACCCCCTCCCCTTGACGTCCTGGGGAGTCTTCTATTTTGGAACGCCCGAGCCACGTTGCTAAGGGAGGGAGGGCGGGGGGAAGAGGCCGAGCCGCTGATTGGTCTCGGGAGCCGAGGAAGGGAGCCAATCGCCTGCAAGGGTTGACTTCTTGCTCGCGGCTCCCCCCCCCTCCTCTCCTCTCCGGCATCCTCTCTCCCCGAGCCCAGCCCGTGACCTCCTTTAGTTGGACGGGGACCTCGCTATCGGGACATGAGAGGGCAGGCGGCGTAGCGACCCAACGGGGCTCGGGACAGGTCCCGGGAGCCCTGTTTTCAGACCCGGGATCTGGTCTGGGACCCCACGTGCCTAATATAGCGTGCTCCTCCCTCCCCCCTGCCGCCCCATCGCGACATAGGACGACAGGGTGTCTCCCGGCAGCTAGGATAGCCTTAGGTCCTTGAGGGCGACCTTGGGTGGGGCCTAGTGGGTGCAGCAGGAAAGCTGGGTACAGGAGGAATGCGGGTGTAGACAGAGAGAGAGGGGGAAGGGTTTGAGCACCCCTGCCTCCCCTCGGGTTGAGGGAATGAAGATTCCCTGACCACCCCACCCCCCGGTGCACCCCAGATTTAACCCTCGGACCAAGTTCAAGTTCCAGCCAGAGCCGGGACTTGAACCCAGGCGCCCGTTGTGCTCGCTAGCCGTGTAAAAGACTCCCCACCCCCTCCAAGTTCAAAGCCACGCTGCCATTGGAGGCTGCGCAGGAGGGACGGCCCCGTGGGGGGCGGTGAGAAGGCAGAAAGAATCTCAGATACTTTGGGAAGGCTCGGAGGCTGGGGGGGAGATGGAGAAACACCCAGAAGAGGGGAGGAGGGAGAGACACGGAGATCCTAGGACGGTCGTACAGGCATCTTCACACCTGCCGGGCGCCACGCACGCCAGCACACGGCTCCAGCACAGTCCCCGGGAGCCATGGGCTGCTGCCGGGCTCTCCTTTCCCACTATGAGACACAACCCCTCCGGCCTTTCGACCCTTGACAGGAGCTCAGACTTCCCACCTATTACACTGCTCCAAACTCCGGCCTTCCCCCCCCCCCCCCCCAGGCAGTTCAGATGACAGCCCCAGGAGAGGACAGGCACATGCCTGGCCCGGAATCCTGCCCACATTTCCAAGGGCCAGTTGGGTTATTTATTAGTGGTGGGATGAAAGTTGATCCTAGCAGGGGCATCAGAGCTGGAAAGGCACTTTTAAAAGAATCCCTCTCCGGCCCCCACAGCCTTATGTAGTGGTCTGAGGGGAAAACTACTTTTAAAGCCCAAAAAGGGATTATAGGGAAAGGGAGTAACTCAAGGTCATGAAGAGATCTGGAACCCAGGTGTCCTCTCCCCGTGGCCTTTATCTATAAAGATCCTGACATTCAAACAGGCCTCTGGATTTGAATCCTGGCTCCGCAAATATGCTTAATTACTTGGGCGTATGCTCAAGTTTATTCTGGGGCCTCAGTTTACTCAGCTGTATCATCAGAAGGTTTAAAACTAGATAATCTCAGCACTAAATTCGATCTTGTAGACCAGACTAGTCAGGCACTGGAGAGGAAACTGAGGCAGAGTCAGGAGGACTTCCCAGCTACAGTGGAATCAGGCCCCCTATCCCCATCAGCTTTTCCTCCTCCCCACCATCACCATCACTTTTCTTCCTTCTTCTAGAATCAGGGGTGGGGTTGGGGGTGGGGAATGTGTGTATGAGTGTGTGTGGGACCTGAGTCCCTCAGTTCTCCGGTCTCTGTCCTACACAAACACACACATACACACACATCCACTCACACACACATCCACATGCAGGAGTCACCAACCTGGGTGTGAATCACCACGGGCTTGAGCTGTTCAGTGCAACCTCCAGAGGAGGAGGAAAAGCCAGGGATGTGAACGGCTCTCATTAACCACTGCGTCACGGTGTAGTGGAAGGGGGTAGGTGGTGGTGGCTTGGCTGCCTGTGACACGCACTCACCCAGTGGCTCACCACGAGGGTGTTGGGGGGTGTGTGAATGTCTGTCTGTGTGTGTTCGGTCTGCATGCCCCGGGCTCTGCCCATCTCTCTCTCAGCAGGAGTGTGCTGGCCTTGGTGACATGCCTGGCTCCTTCGTGCCCACGGTCACTGCCATCACCACAAGCCAAGACCTCCAGTGGCTGGTCCAGCCCACCCTCATCTCTTCCATGGCTCAGTCCCAGGGCCAGCAGCCACCTCTGGGCCCCCAGCTGCCCACTGTCGACCCCTACGACCTGCCTGGTACCAGCTATTCTTCCCCTGGGATCAGCGGCTATGCCAGCGGTGCTGGACCCTCGGGGGCAACTTCAGCTGGTCCTCCACCCTCACGTCCTGCACGGGCCAGGCCTCGACGGCCCAGGGAAGAAACGGTGAGTCTGAAGGGCACCTGAGCATATAGGCTAGGCAGGGTGTCTGGATACCCTCAGAGAAAGTGGCAGGGGAGATGAACCATGGTGGGTGAGGTCACCAAATCCTCACTGTTAGCATTGCTTTGGGGGCATTCTCCAGATTGGGGGAGGGGCAGCCTGTATCTCCTCTACTCATTTGGAGTCTTCCTCATCCATCTGGACCTTGGCTTACCTCTTTCCCGAGAGAGGGACAGGGTTTATTTTTTAATAATTGTTATGGGATAAATATGGGAGCTTGTGGAGCAGCGGGAGGAGATAACATCATTGGAGGGAAAGGGAGAAGGGGGTCCAGGTTGGGGGAGGGGTTCCAGGTTGGAGGGGCAGGTGGCTACTTCCTCAGAAAGAAGACTCACTCACTTTCTTCCCTCACAGCTCACCCCTGAAGAAGAGGAGAAGAGGAGGGTCCGGCGAGAACGGAACAAACTGGCTGCGGCCAAATGTCGGAACCGAAGGCGGGAGCTGACAGACCGTCTACAGGCGGTGAGGATTTCTAATACGGCAGCCCCCGAGGCTTGGTCGGGTGGTTGTTGGATGGGACCAAGCCTTTAGGCTCCCTCTTTCATCCCATTCCCCCACTCCCCCCTAATCATTCATCCCATTCTCCCCTCCCCCCCAATCAGCCTGCAGGGGCCATCAGTGTTACCTCAGACACAAGAAGGACCCTCCCACAGTGAATCTGCTCAGGTTCCCCACATTGAACCCTGTGTATGTATGTCTACATGCACAAGGAAAGAAGCTTGATTCCCAACTAGCTTATGCCACCCTAGCTGCCCTTCCCACCCCACCGCCAGGACAAGCTTGTCCTTTGGGGTTCAAGGAATGGAGGAGGTCCAGGATTAATGTCCATCCATCATGGCAGGATGGACCCTAGGGCCAGACTCTAAAAAGCAGCATAGTGGAGAAAGCCTCAAATTGTGTTATCAGAGAAAGTTGGATATTGGACCTTCCAAAAAGCATCAGAGATACAACCGTGTATGACTGTGGTCATACTCCCTTTCCTGAAACAGTTCCTAGGAGGAAGATTAGACAATATCAGATGCTTTCTAAGGTCTCCCCAGCTCTGAGTCACCTAAACGATTCTCTCTCTCTTGCCCCCTTTATCCCCCCCTCCCCCAGCTTTTACATTGGCACTTTCCTTTGACCAGGCTGTGCCATAGACTTGACCAAAAAACTCCTTCTACTCCATGAATATCTCAAGAGAGAAAATTACTCTTGAGATCCCCCTAGTTGAGGGAGAGGGGGAAGAAGGAGGACTTTTCTAGCTCTGTCAGCTGCCCAATTTCAACTTGTTCCCAAGAGCTCCCCCCACCAAGTTCATCCTCCCTTAAAATTTGACAGCAAGATAAAACTTTGTTCCTTGTATCTGTTTGTCTCCTGATAGTGAGGGAGACACATACATTCTTCCCCAGGCAGGCCCCCTTCTCTGCCCCAATGTGAAGAAGAGGTGAGAGCACCTAGGACAAGTGCTTGGTACAATATTGACCACAATTTGGACTTTGAACTGAATTCCTTCCTAAGTCTTCCATCCAGTATCTGGATGACAACCTCATCTTGGGGTGGAGGCTGAAATTTCTTTTAAAGGGACAAAGAGGGATGGGGGGGGAGGGGGAATAAATATGGACAGACCATATTGAGCCTAATCTAATGGAGAGGCCTGGGTTTTGTGACAGAGTAAGCTGGATTGGAATCTTGTCTCCACTACAGCAGACTTAGGTGTGATTCTGGACAAGTCTACCCGACCTCTCTACTTCCGCAGTTTCTTCATCTGTAAAAGAAAGAGACAGTCCAAGCTTTGTAAATAAACCCTCTGATCCCAATAATGATAGAGAGATGTGTAGTACATTGGAAAAGAGAGTGCTAGCTATGGAGTTGGGATTGAAGCCCTGGATTCAAATTTCACCTCTTAAGATGAGCTAGCTATGCCAGCTCTGACTTGATTGGCATTTACTTGAGACATCTGTGGACCTCAGTTTCCTCAACTGTAAAACAAGGGGGGTTGGAATAGATGGCTAGATTGCTTCCAGTTTAAATATACATCTGTTTTCTGGTTCTATATATGATATGGTAAAAAGAGAGAAAGGACACACAGGTCTTTCAATATCAAATTGATGATTGGCTGTCAGAGCTAGAAAGAAACAGAGATAATTCAGTAATTTTCCAGATGAAACTCCAGTCCACCTAGAGAAGGAAACTAGCCCACTCTGAAGCTGTTTACAACTGATAATTATTGATGATTTCTTTTTGGACAGTGGGGTCATAGAAAATCAGATCTGGAAATAACCTTAGAGATTTTTCAGTCTCAACTCCTCAGTTAAACACATGAGGAAACTGAGGCACAAAGAACCGATGGGTCTTGCCCCACTTCGGGGGAGTGCCAGGGCAGGAGAAACTTTAGAGTTCAGCTAGTCTAGTTCAATTCCTTCTTTTTGCAAGGGAGAAAACTTGAGGTCCACTGGCAGAGCCTCATCCTCCTAGTAGATCCTTAGTAGGAGGCATGATTGGAACTCTGGTTTTGGGATTCCACATCCAAAGTGGAATTGATTTAGAAGCTGGCATGGAAGCCAGCCAGAAGGGTATGTCCCTAGTCCTGCTGCTGACCTGGCTTCTCTCTCTCTCTTCTCCTCTCCTCTCCCCCTCCCCCCCAACTGCCTGCTGGCCTGGGGTACCAGGAGACGGACCAGCTGGAAGAGGAGAAGGCAGAGTTGGAGTCAGAAATCGCCGAACTCCAGAAGGAGAAGGAGCGTCTGCAGTTTGTGCTGGCAGCCCATAAGCCAGGCTGCAAGATCCCTTTTGATGAGGGGCCCGGGCCAGGGGGCCCCCTGGCCGAGGTGAGAGCTTTGCCTGGGCCCACGCCCACTAAGGACGATGCGTTCGGGTGGTTCCTGCCGCCGCCGCCCCTGCCCTTCCAGACCAGCCAGGAGCCCGGCCAGGAGGGGCCCCCAGACCTGACGGCTTCTCTCTTTACACACAGTGAGGTCCCAGCCTTCGGCGACCCCTACCCTGTTAACCCTTCGTATACCACCTCGTTTGTACTCACGTGCCCGGACGTCTCCGTATGCGGCGGTGCTCAGCGCAACGGCAGCGACCAGTCCTCTGACTCCCTGAACTCGCCCTCCCTCCTTGCTCTGTGAATTCTTTTAGAGGGAGGGGGCGCTTCTCTCTGGAGACAAAAAACTGGGGGGAGGTTGCTACACCCCCCTCCACTCTCTTGGCCTGCACCTACCTGAGGATTCCTTTCATCCTCGAGGGGTCATTGACCTGAGTCAGCCTCTCTTCATCCTTGGCCATCAACCGCCGGATTCCTCTCGACCTGAGGCCTCCTTCCTTCTCGGCCACCGACTGGTTTCATCGTGACTCGAGGCTTCCTTCCTTCATCCCTCCTCAGCTGGGATTCCACTCACCCTTGGTCTGACGCCCGGCCCTTCCTTGAGCCCTGACCCTTCGACCCTCGGAGCTTGCCCTACCATGCCTATTTGACCCTCCACTCTGACTGTCGCCAGTGAGAAAGGCGGAGACTTTGTGGGGGATGCACCTGAGGGCTTTGCTCCTGGGGGAGGAGGGGAGGGAAAAGGTATGGAGAGAAATTGTTGGTTGCCATGGCCTGCGAGCCATGTGGGGATGGGGGCTTCAGTGGGTTGCAAGGGGGAGGGTCTGGGGGATGGGTTCGAAGTCTTACTTCTGATGGAATCTCAGGCCCTTCCCCAAGCGACCCCCTGGTCATTGTTTCCCCATCTGCTTTCCCTAGAAGAGTATTAACTTATTTAGCCACTTTCCGAAGTCAAAAGTGAAAGGCTCAAACCCCTTCTTTCGCTTCTCCGTGGTTGAGAGATGAGGAGCCTCCCTTCCCCTTTGTAAGCAGTATTATTATTCCTATCCCCTTCTTTCCAGTAAATCCCCTTCACCTGTTTCCTCTTCTCTCACCCACACCTCTCAAGCCCTTCATGGTTTTCTCTGGGCTTTCCTTATGTGAGGCTGGTAGAGAAGGGTGACTCACCTTTCACCCTTGCCCCTAGCTGAGGTATTTATACTGTGAAATGAGGTCTTGGGGAAGGGTAGGGACCAGGGAAGTACAGTGCAGTCCCCAATCTCCCTTGGTGGGGAGGAGAAATGAAGGGAAAGTTTCCCTATACCCCGGACTGGGTCTCCCACCACTTCAAAGCTCATATACTATTCCTCTATATCATCCAACAAGTGAGACAGGGTCCTCTTAATGGCACCATGGGGCCCCCTGCTTTAATGTCCTTCTCTATTGGGTTTCTTTTTCCTCCA